CAATCAAGTTCAGAATATATATCAGACCCTGTTTAATGATTTACATGGTGATCTAATTGTTAATTGTTGCTCAATAAAAATACTTCTGGTATTACTTACTATATGGTTAAAATTTGTTACTTTATGATATTACCTTTGTTGACTTCACTCATAGTATTACATCCGTCAAATCCGATAAACCTCATATTATCTATTGGTATTTGTTTGGCTACTAGGAATGTGTACAGAGCTTTACAAATATCTGCTGCACCGAGTGACTGAAGTACCACAAACCTTACAAATCTTGTGTCCAGAACACTATCATTATTTATGTATCTTGCCATGACACTCATCTGACTTCTGTTGGCTACGTCATTACTCTCATCTGATAATAAGGCAAATTATTTTCCAGTAAGCTCACTGAGAATGTTGTTTTCCCTCAATTGTCCTAGACAATCCACCATTTCACTTCCTGCTCTTGAAAAAATGTAGTTTGGCAATGATTTGTCGTTCAGGTGCGACACAAGTTCTTTAACGCCCTGGGAGTCCGAAAATAAATTTGGTCATTAAATCAAATGAGGACTTGTGTAGTTTTTTACCCTTCTTTATGATGAGGCCATAAAAGTCTTCTAACAACATGTTAGGTTCACGTTTAAGATTGTTAAATGCCTGTGTTTCAATATAGAGGGAAGCATTGTCGTGGGATCAATGAAAGTTTTACGAAAACTATCCTGCAAGGCACACCAAGATTTGTTTTTTTTAATTTTGTATTTATCCAAAAACACATGAGGAATAAATAGAATCATATATACTATCCAGTCTTAGAACTACCTTCGTCACACACTTACATAGTATAGTCATGCATCATTTTCACCACTTGACACACAGCATTTTGAGTTGAACACTATATCTTAACTATCAGAGACACTATATAACACAATCACTCTAAACATATTTCTATAACTTGCAGCCATACTAGTACTCCAGCATTATTATTTTTTTTTTAATTTTTCAAGAGTTTTTAATGTACATAACAATTACATCAACAAAACATCATCAAACATACAACATACAATATGCTCACTCATACATCACCATAATCTCGATTAAGTTGTATCATCATCATCATCATCATCATCATCATCACCACCACCATCATCATCATCATCATCATCATCACAAACACCGTCATCGTAATCATCATCAAAAGAAGAAAAAGAAACATCATCATCATCATAAACATTACCATCATCATTATCTTCTTCATTATAAACATTACCTCCTCATCATAATCATCAGTCATCATGATCTCAATCAAGTAATCATGTCAATACATTCTTCATCATTGTCATATTCAATATGCCTTTGTCACCACCTTCATGTCAATAGATTCATCCTCAGCATTCATTATCACATATGCACCTCATCATCAACCTAACTATCAACACAATTTGTCATTATAACTTGAAATCCATCCATACATCATCGCCTGGCATTTTCATCAACACCCTTACTAACATCACAACACTACCCTTACACACCCACTCCTACACATACATCAATACTACACATAAAAATAAAGAGGAGAGAAACAGAGAGAGAGGGGGGGAAGAGAGAGGTGATCTGGGTTAGTAAAAATTGCAATAATCAGCGAAACAATAGGGACTCGAGTATAAAGAAAAATACCTGGTAAATAAATAAATAAATAAATACTATACTCCAGCATTATTACATATACAAACAACATCAGCATCTGACATCAAAGCATCATATACAATCATCATCCTCGTCACACATTAGCATCATCACATACCATCAGCATCATTATGGTCATCATCACACTTCAGCAGCATCACACATCCGCATTATCAGCTTCTTCACACCTCAATATCATCATATACACAAACCTCAGCATCACACATCCAGCATCATAATTTAACATATTAACATCACCATCACCACCCAACAGCTTCATATATCAACAATACATATCAGCATCAGTATTATCATATTAATGTCACATATCATCAGCAGTAGCATCATATATCTACATCATATCTACATCATCACACTTTAACCTCCATGCACAAGGATGCTGCAGATTTTTAGACACGGTCAACATCATTATCTTCATCAAGCATACATACATACATAGACATGCACAGTTCAGTAATTTCTCCATTAACTAGTATGGACTCATAACAAGTGAGCAGTAACAGCTGTCACTATATCACTGTAAGATAAATGTTCCTAGATATAATGAAATAACTACAAAACGAAACATGTGATGATTCTTTTATTTATTAGAGAGAAAGGGGGAAGAACAAAGAGGGGGGAAAGAGAGATGGACAAACTTTGTATATGAATAGGGTAAAACATTTTTTAACTATACCGAATAAAAATTACAAGTATTTCAATTAACACAATAGTGAAAAAAACGGAATCTCAACATCCACGAACAGTTCTTCTTTTTATTCCGTTTGGTACATCGTCGACATGTTTCGACCGCTATGCGGCCGTCATAAGGACGATTTTTACAAAAGATAACAGCTATAAAGTGGCAATTTCCGGTTACATAAATGTGACGTCATAATGGACAATACTGACAATTATATACAAGAATAGGTAAGTACAATTACTTGTGGATTGAAAAATGCCATAGACACAGTAACAGATGCATGTTCATCAATTAAATGTACAGGTTTTTCATCTAGACAGTGTTAAATTAATACTGTTCTCATTGATTTTTCTAGCTGGTGAATGTTTATATTTCTTTTCTGCTGGGACTATTCTGAATTTGACATTAGTAAATTTTCTCGGGTTATTTTTTCCGGGCTTCGAATGGGGGCTTCTATTGGACCGGTTGCGCTGCTATTTTCCTTGGTGAAAATATTTTCAGTTGAATCAGGTTATTTTCTTCTAAATCCTGTGGGTGCGGATTTTTTATGTGTCGTGTAGCTATGTCCTTTCTACAATAGTTTTTCATGCACACATGACGTTGGTATTTGGTGACTTGTACACTGTGTTTACAATTCACGTATCTCTTTAGCGCCGCGATGGTACTTACTTTTATACTGCATTTCGTGCATAAAATGTGTTTTCCCGGTTTTGGTTTCCTGTTTCCTTTATCTTTGTTATCAAAATTCCTTTTTGTAAATTTGATGTTGGCCATTTAAACTTGAATATTGAGACCGTCCGGTTGCAGTGTACACAATGTTTTTATCCAAACTTCATTAGTGCGGAGTCTGACGTTTGTGTTGTTTATACTTGTTGCCACGCATATAATTGTGACGTCATCAATTCGGTGGTCGTTTGTACTGTAGTGGCGCGATATTGGTTTATATGATACCTTTATTAAGGATTGTGTTATTGCGCATTTTCCTTTGATGACCAATCGGCAGGAGGTTAATATACAATCTGCTTTGTCTGGCGAAAAGCTGCGCCTTCCATGTTTTTGTTTCTCAGCAGGTTCTTCTTCCTGACCTTAGAAAAGAGGATCGGCATCTGTGGCCAGGGCTGTGGCCCCATCTGCGTCAGGGGCTGTGGTGTCGTCTGTGTCAAGGACTGTGGATGCATCAGACCCCCGCGAACATTACTTATGATATTGTTGTCACTTTTACTGATTCTGGCTCCCTATTGTGGATCAAATAATAGTTATCAGCAGTAGAAGCTCTATGAGTCATATGACTCGCTAGAGCTTCTCTCATTTCGGGATGTTTTTCTCTGACATTTGTGACTGTTGCTTTCCTGATCTTTGTTGCTGAGATAGAATCGCACTCAGGTACAGCGGTTTTCAAGAAAGTGTTTATACCGCTGTTGACATTACTCACGGTGAGCGGCTGCTTGTTAAAGGACAAAAATACCTTTGAACAAGGTGAAGATAATTCGCATTGATATAACAGAAACTTTTGAAAAAGGTCTATTACATTGGTTTTATATGTGCTAACATTTTGTAGATACTATTCAACCTGCATTCCAAACTTTCACATGCTAATCTCATTCACCAGCCTGGATATTGTTTTCGACTAGAGAATCCGCCTGCTCACTTAGATCTATATATTCCATCATCTAAAAAACAAATATCAACCACCATACATTACGGCATATCATAGCAAAAAGAATCATTACTGTAAAAAAAATCCGTGCCCTTACGCAAGATTTGAATCCAAAATTACAGCAATTATTATTGAATAACAACACCACTACGGAAAAGTTTCTCAGCTAAATCTTCATATACAACAAAAATAATATATTTAATGCATTAACATTGACACGTCATAAATTATTATTACCCAAATTACAATGAAGAATCCTACATGAATTTGCTTTAAATTATATTGTGGTTAAACACCACTCCCTCTACACAAACATCAAAAACAAACTGATATTGAAATAAACCAAAACGGAGAAAAAAATCTTGACAGTATTCAATTTGTCACACAATTTCTTATCCCTAAAACATATATAAAACAAATACACACTCTTATCATAAAATAATAAAACACCCATTTAGAAATTATTAATGAATCAGATAAAAAAAATCCCATCGAATATAATCACTTTCCAACAATATGCGACAAACGTTTTACCGTTTTTTAATTCCTCTACAAAACTCCTATTAGCACAATTCCAATAAAATTTGGCAGAAATTGTCCATGGCAAAACGGTTACAAAATTGTAAACAATATCGTCCTTATCACCAAACATCGTCATTTCATTACTCGTGCATTGTAAAATCAAAAGCAACTCATGGAGGAGAGGGTCATAGGTAATTTTCCAAACTTGTGAATTTCATTATCACATATAATTCAAACTATCTTGTACTTGATCAACAAGAGTACTTCTGTTACTTTGTGAAACAATAACAACATTGGCCAGAGGGTTTGTGGTTATCTTGTTATTTTGTTTGGATAACAAAGATATGTAGATATAAAAGTAAGAAGGCTGAACATATTTCGGAGCAAACCAATCAATTAAATGCTCAATGCCAATGATATTTCGAAGCAAACAAATATAGTAATTTACTTCCAATAGAAAATAAAAACTATAAACGTCAAAACAGTTTCAAATAATGATATAAAAAACAGGCTTTTGTCGATGAAACGAGTAACATCTTCCTTCTGTATATGTGTGATTAGTTCCTCGCTGCGGTTCTTGTCCGCTGTAGTTCCAGTGTCTTCCAGCGTTTTGCCTGTCGGAGGAACAATATTGATTACTTTCCTTTTTCTGCATGTTGAATTGGCTGTGCGCTTAACTAGCCAAAGAAGCCAGCCTGGAAATGTTTGTACATCCTTCACATCATTACAGCGAAGAGTTAGTATTGTTAACAAAATCAGAAAACAGCTGTTTAACATGACTACGAGAAAGAAATAACAAATCCCTGGCATTGGATCAGAAACTGTTGGCAGGTTTTCTCCTACTATTGTCATGTAAACGGCTAACGATAATGACATTGTAACTATGTAGGAAATCCTCTCCCCAGAGGAGGCCGGCAAAAGGAAAACAAAAGGGTTCATGAAGCGAAGGAACATCACTGGTAAAAACATAGACAAAATAAAGTATTCTGAACGTCTGGTCAGATGAATAGAAAATGCTAGTACAGAGGTTCCGTAATCTGTATCATTTTTCACAGATGTCTCTTCGATGTCCCACTCCCCATTTGGTTTGTAGAATTGCATATCTATATCTGGACGTGCTTTAACCAAAGCTACTTCATTCCCTGTATGTAACAGAGATAGAAACTGCAAAACACATATTTGTGAGTCCGAAGGAAATTTAGTCATATCAAAACTGCAGCTAGCTTTCACGTGTCGACCAGGTGTCGACGTAACTGTGCCGTTAGAGTAAACTCTTACGTCGTAAGAATCGAAAGAAATATCTGATAAATCCTCAGAAGATGTTGCTATATAAATCCGTGGTTTCCATACATTTGATGAATTAAACACGAAGGAGGTTATATCATTGTAGTTATGTGGTGTCCAAACCAAGCGGTAATCGGTCCATTGTATTGGTACGCCACAGTTAAGCGTGATTGTTCCAGACACCATATCTAAATCCAGAACAGATACAAGAAACATGCCAAATGTGACATGTAACGGGTCGCTTAGGTTGTAAACTGGTCGGAAATCTTTTGTATAGTTCTGGAACAACGTCTCCCTCAATCTCATTAGGTCATTCATTGTACCGTGTGCATTTCCATAATTTCCATACATGACAGCGACACAATACAGTAAAAAGGTAAATATTAAAAGATCGCCTGGCATCTCCTCTTGATTTTAGGCAAACTAAAGAGAAAGAAGAAGCCTTATAGTTACGGAATCGCACAGGCCAAAATTACACTATCGGACAAATATGGAAGTAAATAAGTTATTTTTACAGTTACTCAAAGGACAATGAATATTATATTTCAAGGCAAATTAACAAATAGCTGTGGAATTGGCTTAATAATGAAATAAACTTGTGATTATTCATATGTTCAGAAGAAGACTGCTATAAGATGGATTCAGTGGAAGCACCTGTTGAACGATATCGTTCACTTCTTTTAGTTATGTTTAAGATGGCAGAACAAAATGAAAAGAGCTTTATCATGGCTTACCTTCAAGTCACTATGAAATTATTATTACACATAAAAGATCATTAGGGCCATCACCCGGTGTAAAACACAGCGATTCAAAAAGGAAATAACATCAAACAAACTAAAAGTCACTATGAAAACAGTTATCAATGTTGGCATGATTTCTATAGTTAAAAGTTTTGAGCCGCATTTAATGCTATACCAGCATTGTTTAGCTTAATGAATTACTGATATAAAAAAATAACCTTTACCTGTTCTAGTCTAGTTTATGCCTGCCGACGTCAGTAATACCCAAAGGTAACGTGCCAAGTATGTGTTGCAAAATAACTGGAACATACAGTGTAAAGCATTTCGAGTTCATATGATTGTTTTACACCGTATTGTTGATGGTAACCTATAATTGATGTTTATTGTTACAGTCATTGATGAATTCTTAAGCGTTTCTAATTGGGGTTTAGGCAAATATGGTAAGGGTCAATAACGTTTATACGGTGTATCAAAAACACCTTAATGAGTATGATGAACATACAACACGCCGATTTTCGTATTTGTCAGGCAGCAATGAATGCAATATTATTCATAACGTGTAAATACCGATTTTATTTTTCAATATCGATGTTAAGATCTCAGTATCGTTGTTAAGGTATCGAGAGACAGGGACAAGGAATAGTAATAATAGGAATACTATAAACAATAAAACTTCAAAACTCATGTACGAAGTAAATGTTAGAACTTGCAAGATCGTGCCTCATTTGTCCTGTGACAATGAAACGCATTGAAATCGGTGGAGATCACTCCGTCGACGTCATCTGAAATATTATGAATTTCATTTATTTATTTTATTTTGATTTTGTGCTTATATTTCCACAATGGCTAAGAATGATATCGAGCACAACAGAAGAATTCTTGCTAAGACAAATTCTAGAAGTGCGTCAATGTTTAAAACAATCTGTTTTCTCAGTTTTCAAACAACTTTTAAATTTACACCAGACCATAGATTTTATTTTAATTTGTTGGCCATTTTGGAAGACCAAAAATGCGAAGAAAGGGCATTCGGTTTGCTAAAGAAGAAATGAACGATATAATGATACCTTATTGTTAATAAATCCTTATTTCTCGAAATGCACTCTGTCGGGCGAGGTATTGTCGTGCAAGTCAGAATTTTAAAAAAAAAAACTTAAATGACACATAGACATCGCTTTATTGTAAATACAATGAAATATGGTATCCAGGTATGATTTATTTACGTTCCTATGTAAACACTCACTCAAAATTGAATTACTATATTACCTGTTATGGTTATATTCACAATATGAATATGATCGACTGTACCGGTGACATTGGTGTGTCATGTAAACGTTTGTAATGTTCTCTTGCTAATTGGAACTGACCCAATAATGTGTAAATTCTCTACCGTTGATTTACATACATGATAGAGCAAAGGAACCATCTGAACCGTTCTGAAAGCAAATATAAAGATGTCAAATGTTTGGGCAGTGCAAAGAATCAAATTTTCAATATGTGACATAATGATATTTCAGGTAAGATGTTGTAGCGTTAATGTGATATCATGTACGATTGAACAAAATGATCATGAAACGCAATCAAATGATCAAATTTCAATTAGATATATTGTTTATCAAACGACGACGGACTTTATAGAAGATTCACTTGATCCTCTGTACATAAAGTGGACCTGCTCATGTAACCCGAGATGTTCATTTAAACAAATTGATGTGTAACCAATAAATCAAAGAGAAAATATCGTAGATAAACAATACAGATTTTTAGAGGAGTGGTGCATGGGTTTAAAGTGCCATTTCACTATAACGAACTGAACTATATATAGCAGCAGAAGTGGGAACATGTGTTAATTGATTGAAACAGTTTGGAGTATTTTAGCAGTTTCTAACGGTAAAAAAACTCCATTAAAGTTGAGAGGTTTCTTCTCGGGAGCCATGAATGCGAAATCATGTTAAAAATAATTGCTATAACTGCCACTGAGGACGATGATTAGCAACACATTTTCGGCTTTTATGCCATAACATACTCAAAAATGTCCAGCTCAACTGGAAACTTGCAAGATGGTGTATAAACTAAATTTGGACTGACCTGCAATATCAAGACTTATTCAGGATCATCTCACGAAGGTTTCAGCCTTATCCTACTGACGGAACTAGATAAATACATTCTTGTTTGCAACGACAGTTCAATAGTATAATCACCTTTCAAAAAGGCCAATATCATACCTTACGCATCCATGTATGCTAAAAGGCGAAGATAACCCTCGGTGCATAGGATGTAATGAGCCATTCACCGTTAAACTTTCGTTTTATCTGAGAAATGTTGGTCTATATAATAGACTATGACTTACCATTTTTATCTTTTGTGATGGTATACCCATCTGATATTTTAGCATTCGTCTTCTACATTTTAGTTTGTTTTATGTTATTTGCTTTATGGAACGCTGATGGCCCTAATGAACTTTTGTGTGTTGTATGCCTTTTGTACGTAGCATAGCGGTATCGAATTTTAATGAAATTATTGATTGCTAACATTAATGGCCAGTCACAATTGAAACGTAATATGGGTGTATGGAAGAATCAACAACAACATATGGCTGGTTCCCATACTTAGTATGTTCAAGTTAGTACCAAGAGGATATGGTACTGAACATATTTTGTCTTTTACCTTTTGGTTTGTTTGATTTCCTTTTTGGATCGCAATGTGTTTTACCGTTTGGTGGCCTTAATGACCTTTTATGTGTTGACGGGAAGTTCAGAATGTCATAATAATAATAACTGTTACTGAATTGAACACAAGAGACGACGAAAATCAAAATCTCCCAATTTCCAATGTTTCCAGTGGAGACAATGTTTGTTACATCGACTGTTATACGAAGTAATCATTTGAAAAGCCAACATCTGCCGAAATCTTTATACAAATGTAAGCGGTATTGTTAAATTAGTCGTTCCTTAAATTTGTTTAACTCGAACCGCTGGTCTCTTTGTCTGGTAGGAAACAATGTACTTAAGCAGTCTTTCTAATAAAATGTACAGTCTTAATAGATAATCATTCAACAGAGGCTAGTTATTCAATTAACGAAAACCGCTAGTATTATCTTTGATGTCATCGACACTAGTACGTTATACCTGACATAGCTATAGATTAACTAACAAAAAAAACCGCAGAAATATCGATATTTTCTAATGCATTCATTTGTGCCCTTTGTTCACACTAATGCTAATGACTCAATACCGATAAATCCAGTCCCATGGATGTATGAGATCAGACCATTCGTTAACAAATCAGTTTGCAGAGCCATTAAAATTTATTTCTCCTTCATAACATCGGATTTGACTCATCCTCTACAGTGCTTGGCTGTTTTGAGTTCCGAACACACTATTTTGGACAGGAACAGATCATGGTTTGGAATTGGTATGGTTGAATTTAATTTAAAATCAATATCGGCAATTATTACATATTATTACATTCATCTCGGTACAATTATTGGACATATTCAATTTCGAGAGTAAGATAAAGAAATATGTATACGGTAGGTGATTATAATTTCTCAATCTATATTTTTGTGTGAACAATATTTGTTGTTTTTGTGGTCAACGTATATACTGCTTAATTTCCAATGACAGTTGTGAAATCAAGTTTTCACATTATATCACATATCTGATTTGCATTGAAATTGCATGTCAATGAGGTTATTATGTAATCAATTCCATTGTTTCATAATATTCTTACTGTATACTTATGTCATGGTAGCAGTTCAACGGCGAAATTTTCATTAATTTGTTACTTTTAGTATTATACTTGATATATTGTTTTCTCTGCATAATTCTTATCAAACATATTGCATTTTCATGTTTTTCTTTTAGAATCAGCCTGTTTCAACTTATAAGGCTTAGAAGATTAAGAACAATGATTGTATCACTTCTATATATTTACATCATCATTTCAAGTGCACATGGACAAGGTACTATGGATGACCTGGTGAGACTAAGGAATACCCTGCTTCAGAATTACACAAAGGATTTTCGGCCAGTTTATAACCTCAGCGATGTCACATACGTAGCACTTGATATGATATTGATATCTGTTCTAGACCTAAACGAGATAGCGGGCACAATTACGCTTAATTGCGGCCTCTCAATGTTATGGACTGATTATCGCTTGGTTTGGAATCCAAGTGACTTCAGCGGCATTACTTCATTTGTGTTCAATTCATCAAATATATGGAAACCTAGAGTTTATATTACAACATCTTCTGAAGATTTATCTGATTTTTCTTTCGATGCCTTTGACGTTCGAGTGTATGCAAATGGCAGCGTGTTGTCCTCCCCAGGTCGACACGTGAAGGCTAGCTGTAGTTTCGACATGACGAAATTCCCGACCGATTCGCAAACATGTACTATGCAACTCGCATCGTGGATGTATACAGTTAATGAAATGTATTTTTTAATAGCACGTCCAAATATGAATCTTGCTTATTACAGACCTAACGGAGACTGGGACGTAGATTGGACATCAGTGACAAACAATACTGATTTAGGAAGATATTTTGCGATAATTGACTTTTCTATTCACTTGACGAGACGCTCTGGATATTTTATGGTATCCATGACCATGCCCGTGCTACTTCTGTGTTTTCTCAACCCATTTGTATTCGTCCTGCCGGCCTCCTCGGGTGAGAGGATTTCATACACAATTACTGTGTTCCTATCCTTGGCCGTATATATGACACTCATCGGTGAGAACATACCACAAGTTTCAGAACCGATGGCGGGTGTTTCCTATTTTCTTCTTGTGGCTATGTTAAATAGCTGTGTGTTGATCGTGTTGACAATATTCTCCCTACGCTGCGACTCTGTAACCGATATATGTAAGTTTCCAGCCTGGTTACTATGGCTAGCCTCCCGTCGTGGAGGTTGTCAGTCAACAAATGTAAATAATAAAGTTGATAACACTAACGAAGAACGTGTTGTCAATGTGAAGGAGTTTATAGATGCGACGAACGATGAAATTGCGAGCGGCGATCAGGTACTTGGAAACAATATGAGGAAAGAGGAGGTGATGTACTTCATTGACAAAAGTCTGTTTTGCTTAACACTTTTGATGAATTTGATAACATGTATAGTGTTTGCTCTATACTACTGGTTGTAGACAGAGTAGATTTCCGCAAACCTAGAAACAAGACCTTATTCTAATAGAGATAGAAATTATTTAGGTTCAATTGTTTGTTCTATTTATAATCTGAGCACATCGTACGTACATGTTCTTATGAAGACATTCTAATGTATAACTTTAAGTTTTCATTTTGATATGGTAAATATAGAAATAATTGATATCAGAGGAAAGTTTACTTTTAACTGATATTTTCATTTTTTTTCAAAGCACATACATGTCAATATCATAACATATTCCATAGCACATCAATAAATCTAAATAAGACATTTGTAAACCAGACATCTGTATACATCCACTCGTAAGAAACATTTCACGCACATACATTCTTAATTCATGTTTTCAAATACCTTAGTATGATGCATAAGATTTTAATCGATCGAAGATATCAGTTTAGAATATTGGAATAAAACTTATCATAATAGTCATGTGTTGTGTCCTTTTTTTAAAGAAAGAGAATGGAGATAGACAGGTAATTACAAACGCAGACAAAAAACCCTAATAGACACGTGTAACAGAGACAAGAAATATCAGACAGACGAACACAAATTCATACAAACACAATTGACACAGGTACAAGTGTAGACAGATTAGAGAGAGACGGGCCTTCCAAAACTCAAAAAAGTATCAAATTAAATAGCAAACTACTTAATTGAAAACATACTAACTATCAGAGTTTCGATGACATTAATAGATGAGAAAGAGTATAGACAGAAATGACAGAAAACTATTCAACTGAAGTCTAAATAAGTTAACGGTTTTGTTCCATTTGCCACACTATCCGTTGAAACTTTCAAGAGAAGCTTGGCCCTTAGCTGTTGCTCTGTATTTTTCACGTTGTGGTGGTCTTTTAATAGACAAACAATTTCAACACTACGTATACTCGGTGGGAAACGGACCCGATGCGACAAAGCAGAAAGTTTACTAGGAGTATACCCAATAACCACAGAGATCGAAATAAGAAAATTAATATTCTTACCAGGGGCGGATACAGGAATTTAAGTTGGGGGGGGGCGTTATAATTAACTTACAGGCGAGGGGTCTGGGGGCCGCCTAGGCCCCCAGCGGGTCCAGGGCAGAGCCCTGGTGGGGGGTTCAAGGGGGCGAAGCCCCCCGACGGAAAATGGTTTAAACAGGTTTAAACCTCCCAAAACACCGTTAGGAAATGACTGGTTTTAGGGACTTGAGGAGGCGTTGTTTACGAAAAAATATCATATATAGGAAAACTAAAAAAGTAAGGAGTAAGAAAAGCTACTAATGAGCATGTCATTAGACATTATTAATAAGCGTTGTGATATAGACCTTTTTTGGTGTGCTTTTGTATTTGCACTTGTATTTGCGTCAATGTGCCTGGCTGCCTGTATGAAGTTATTAATGCTCTGTTATTTCTACTAATATATACAAATGTAATACCCTCGATATTGCATCCAAACACAAAATGATAGGCTCATAGAGGTCATCAAATGCCTGAAGTGTTGTATGTTTTTCAACCCATCTCGTTTCAGAAAAAACTTTGAACTTCTTTTTGTCAATCTTCTCTGTATCTTCAAGGCCATTATTAACCTCGTCTACTGCTTTTTCTAACCTTCTAGTCCGCTTGGGTGAGTACTTGAAAAAGATTCCTAGTCTTTTCAATGTATCCAGGCATATCTTAACCTCTTTGAGTTGACAGCTTTTACTAATAGCTAAGTTCAGATCATGACTGCTGCAATAATGGTAAATTGCTTTTGGATTGATGGCTCTAAATCGTGCGGCTGCTCTGCTCCAATATGTTTGCCTGCCATATTTCCTGCCCCATCCATAGTCTGCGATCGACATTTCTGCGGGTTTAGACCAACACGTGTTAAGCAGCTGATTATTGAATCGCAAATGGCTTCTCCAGTGACACTTTCACATGGGATAAATTCAAGCAAGCGCTCCGTTGGTTGGCTATCTACCAGATAACGAACAACAAGTCCAAGCTGTTCCCAATTACTAGCATCTGTGACTTCGTCACATTGAATACCGTAATAGGGGCCAATGGGTTGTGCATTTATTTGTTTGACAATCTCTTCCTGAATGTATATTTTCACACATGTAAGAAGTTCATTCTGAGAAGTTTTTGAAATGTATGATGCATTTTTGGCACATGATCGAAGATGCTCCTGTAGAATCAAATCTCCAGCGTCAGCTCGAAACTGCAGCAGTTCTTTGAAATTCCCCATATTTAAACTGTTTTCTCCGTTTGATTCGTCGTCTCGATGGCCTCTTAAAGCTATGCCTTGTCTCCCGCAGAATATAAGTGTCTTGATTATGGAAGACAAAATTTGCCTGTTCTTCTTTAATCTTTCTTTTTCTACAGTTCTAATGGAAAAGTCTATTCTCTGACTTGGGTCCTTATACGCTGCAATGAAAGAATTCAGTTTTGCCATAGACGACAAATGATACACACAAGTCGAATGCTCTTTCATGTCTTCCACAGCATCTTTCCAGTTAAAGTAAGGTTCTGAAATCAGTTTTTTTGGACGTCTATGTGAGGTATCAGGGAAAAGACAACACCCTAAACAATACAGACCGTCCTTTGATTCTGAATAACACAGGAATACAAAGGTTTTTATCCACTCTTGCTTGCATCGACGGTGTGTGACGCCGCTTTTCCTCCTTTTATCTTTGTATATAGGTGAAGGAAACCTATAATTATCATGAGGAATTCTGTTTGATATCAATGAGAACTTAATATCATCTGACAGATTATCAGGTTCTTCAATAACATTTGCTATGTCAAAGGATGAAAGAAGCGGTGAACAAGCATCAGAGGTACCGAGACCCATTTCGAAATCTTCCTGTATCTGTTGATTATTTACAGATTCAGATACAACAGTCTCACCGGGTACACCAGATTCACCAAGGACATCAGTCTCACCAAGAACACCAGTTTCAGCACGAAGAACACCAGTTTCCCCGGGTACACCAGTCTCACCGGGAACATCAGTCTTGCAAATATCACAAAGTACATAATCAGAAGTCGATGCGAGGGAATTAGGATCTGCCCTAGAAGACGGATTTTCGGATGAACTGACGGACAGCAAAGGAGACTGCTGGTTGAGACTAATCTCAAAATGAGCACCAGTAAGTTCAAATTGTACATTTTGTAATGATGACAGTGAGTTGGCCATGTCTGTGATATAGTCGCCCAATGATGGCAAAGATGTTGTTTTTATCACGACCGCTTTACCATCGGGAACACATAGACCCTGTTCATTACGGCTGTGAGAATCCATCACGAAGTATTTTCCTTCCCAGGACCTAATACCAATGGTCGAGCCACACACTGTAAGGAAAGCAGTATCTGTTTCTGCAAATGTTTGCCTTACAGCAGAATTTAAGTTGTACGTAAGGTTACCAGTGTTATCATACTTCTGATTTGTAAGACCACATTTTGGTTCCAGAAGAGAAACTTGTATTGTTTTATCGTCGGTATTTATTGCTCCTGCCAATTCTGTGACAAGCATATACCCTCCTCCAGCACACTGCTTTCTATAAAGAGCAGTTCCTTTTTCCAAAAGGTCGTCAATTTCGTTAGGTGTTGAAGGTATTGAATCAGCAGTTAGGTAGGTGAAAGCAATACAACAACATTGACTTCCTCCATGACCAAGTTGTCCTTGATGCTTTGTGCCTCTGCATATCAACCTGAAGAAAAAAAAATTGTAAAACTCAATTCGGCCAAAGCAAGCATTTTAAGTGGCAATTTATGCCCCTGACGACATCGGAACAATTCTCTCTTACAGAATCAAGAGCTGAACTTGACATGATATTCCTCAAATCTACTGTAAATTTCATGAATTTCTGTTGGGATTTAGCTGTCGTTAATTTTGTACGTACATTAAAGGGATATTCCGGGCAAGTTGCAAATTTCTGGATTCTCTGTATCTTTTAAGAAGCCTTCCTTATGACTGTTTACAGAAATGTCACCATCGAAATATTTTTTTTTGATCAGTTTGACAACCAAACTTTATACGGAAAATACATTTGGCCAATTTAAATACAGAACATTTTTCACGTGATGATTTTGAAAACGAAACTAGAAACGTGATGTCCAAGACCAAGCAAGCGACAAGGTAAGTAAACTTGAAAGCGACTATTTTCTCCCGTTTTATTCAACTGCAATAATTTGGATTGAATCGAACACGTCGCCATATTTGTTTTTGTGTATTAGGAGGGTGCATTCGTGTAGTGAAGCAATCGGAATCATTTGCAAATCGATCTAACTAGATCTATATAGAATTTCCACAAATTAAATATCGTAAGTTGGTTTATATGGAAAATTGAGGCGTACGATTTCCATAAGAACATAAGTAGATACTTCTGTACAATTTTTATAAAACAGCATCTAAAAAAATCTAACTTTCACGGAATATCCCTTAAATCCACGAATTCATATGCCTACGAATTATCAAATTATACTTGTACAAAATCATGTTTCAATCATGAAAGCGAACCGATTTGATAATCACGAAAATAGACCCCTCAGAAATATGTTATTTTACAGTACATGCCATGTGTCAATGGAATCCGTTATTACACGACTAATTAGAAATAGTAGTCATAAAAACTGAAGCGTGACAGACTGATTGACTTTAATATAAGGGAATCAAGCAGAAAGTCTTTAGACGAATAAATACTACAGTTCGTACATATACTGTAGGCTAACTTGTAATAATCTTGTTCTACTAACTAAAGTAGTAGTAGACTATTATACATTAACTCAAAACTGTAATGAAAAGTGGGTTTTTTTTTTTTTTTTTTTTGCCAAACTGAAGATTCACGAATATTTTGTGGATGATAAGACCAAATCTTTTAATATTATATTGTTTGCTACAATATCACTCTGACACACACAAAAAATATCTTAACGTGAATCATGAATGTGCAAAGATTTTAGTAAAGTCAGATTTCCGCGTGTCAAATACTGTTCAATATTTTACTTTCTACCATAACTT